TTATTTCATAATAACAGTCAAAGATACTTACAATAGCAGTTCTGTTTCATCTTCAGCTGAAGCATTAGAAATAGGAATACAATTTATCAACTCATCTAAACATTGAAATAAACTTATTAGATATTTTATTAATCAAATAATAATATTATAACAACAAAAACAATAGTCTTGTTTAAATTGTCAGCCCTATTTGGTCTTTCTTGAAATACTTGTTATTGTCATTGCATATTATGCCTATTTGTAACCTAAGTTTCCCTAATTGTAGATCTGATTCAGAACCATTATCTATTAATATCTAAGAATTGTCATTATGGTGAAAAAGAACAAAAGAATACAGAAGAAATTTGAATAATATGCAATATCACATCAGGCACCAACAATTACAACTGCCTATAGAAACATCAATGGATAAAAGAAATTAAAATTTACCTTTGGGTTTTTTTTGTTTCTTGCGTTTCTGAATTTCACGTTTTATAATACTTGCTATTGTATCGAAATCATCTTTTCTGGTAGCCATTCTTCTTCATTCTAAAAATTAAAATCATAAATAAAATTACTTATAGGTATTTACTTCTAAATTATGACTTACCAAGTACCTACATACACTATACACAATATAATATTATGTATATATATGAATATATGATACATATTGTTTACTCAAGTCATAATAATTTGTATTGATTTGATTTCTGACACTATCACTACCGAGAATAGAACAGAAAGTCAGAAACTATGAATTATAAAAATAGAATAATATGTATACATAAACTTGGTATTTCTACACGATATAAGTAAATAACAATTAAATTAATTTTGTAACAGTACACAGAAGTACATAAACATAACGATAACTCTGATTTGTTGGTGTATTATAATATAAGAGATAGAACATTATAATTAAATGTTTGCCATTGGGAAACAATTGGAGCCAAATTTTAAAATAATATCGTATTATCAGTAGTTATCACCACGATTAAAGATAATATTATACAGGTTGCACACTTAGATCATATACTATGGATGGAGCCACTGCATATTATTTTGAAGCCGATATTAGCGACGAGTCACCGAATTAGGTGATCGATATGCGCATGCGCGAAACAACTCGTAATATTATAACTGTCCCCATCCCAGCCGAGTCACCGAATTAGGTGTTCGATATGCGCATGCGCAACGCAACCTCTCGCATATTTATCAGCTGGTGATTATAATATTAATATTAAACGAGTTGTTTCGCGCATGCGCATATCGATCACCTAATTCGGTGACTCGTCGCTAATATCGGCTTCAACTTTTTGTATTGCTATAATACGCAGTGGCTCCATCCATAGTATATGATCTAAGGTTGCACATCGCCCTACGGCTTTCAGTTGATTAACAAAGTGACTACATAAAACAGCTGTTAATAATTAACTAGTGGCGCTAAATGTCAACACTCAACCATATAGAAATTCGCTAGACTAAACCGGTGTGAAAAAAAATGCACCGGGATGTTTGGACCATATCATTTACCTATATGTGTCGACTTTTAGAACTATTTTATACCTAAATATCTATAATCGGTTAATTGTAATACTTGGAGTGCCACTGGACACTGGTTAATTATTGGTAGTCATTTCGTATTTCATCTTATCAGTAGTCGATGTGCAACCTGTATATCTTTAACACAGATTTCTATATAGTATATATTATCTTATTCTGTGATCTAGAAGTCTGTGTTCTTTAATCGTGGCAAGGACTAAGATCTTAGTCCATGATCGTGGTTATCACAGATTACTGATTAACTTCATGTTATCAGAGTTATCTATTTGAAATCACAGAATGGTTTGCAAGATTTCGTGTTTTTTCCGTATTTTGTCAATATTTGAACGCTTGAATTTAAATGCTTATAACAAAAAACTGTGACTAGGGATTTTTAATATTTTTTCAAACGCCATTGTAACAACATAATAGGAGCTTTGTATTACATTTTCAAGCTTTTTTACCTAACAAATAAAGTTTTATTGACATTCATAGAAAAAAAACATAAAAAAGTTCGAAACTGAGTATCTATATCCGTAAACAAGTCAAAATTGTTTAAAAATTTAATTTGACTGTCCGGTAGAGATTTTTTTATTGATAAAGGTAGATAATCTTATAAGGAATCTTGTGTTTCATTTTCAAATCTTAGATTTAAAAAGAAAAATTTTTACGAATTCTCAACTCAAAATAATTTGCTAATTTTTGTGATTTTTCCATATTTTGTCAATTTTTGAACTTTAAATGCTTATAAAAAAAAATTGTGACTAAGGATTTTTAATATTTTTCATCTGCCTTTGAAACAATATATTAGGAGCCTTCTATTAAATTTTCAAGCTTTCGAAACCAACAAATAAAATTTTATTGATATTTTTAGAAAAAAAACTAAAAAAAATGGAAAATGAAAATGTCCCTAAACAGTTCAAAATAAATCAAAATATTTTGAAAATGTTATCGTGTATAGAAAATGCAAATATAAACAACCAGTGAAAATTTCATGTATATACGTTCATTTGTTTTAGAGTTCACCAATAACCAAAATCGATTTTTTGGAAAACCAATTTTGCGTAAAAATTCCCGTTTTTCCTTAATTTTTATGTTGTTTTTCCCGGCGCTTGTGAAAACTACTGGGAAATGTTTACTTTTGACCCCCCAAAGTACCAACTAGATTCACTTTCCTATCAGAAAAGCTACTGATGAAGAAAATCCAAGCACTTTTACTGTCCTAAAACGTGATGACAGACACAAAAATATAAAAAAAAACACATATCATTGGAAAACCAATACATTCATCGCTCCGCTCAGAATCTAAAAACTAATAAAATTGGAAACTGAAAATGTCCCTAAACAGTTCAATATAAATCAAAATATTTTGAAAATGTTATCGTGTATAGTAAATGCAAATATAAACAACCACTGAAAATTTCATGTATCTACGGTCATTTGTTTTAAGGTTACACCAAAAACCAAAATCGATTTTTTGGAAAACCAATTTTGCGTAAAAATTCCCGTTTTTCCTTAATTTTTCTTTTGTTTTTCCCGGCGCTTTTGAAAACTACTGGGAAATTAAAATTTTGACCGCCCCAATGCACCAACGATATTCACTTTCCAATCGAACAAGATACGGAAGTTGAAAATCGAAGCATTATTTCGACTACTGTACACAGACACAAAAAAAATAAAAAAAAATAATAATAAAAAAAAATAAAAAAAAAAACACACATCATTGTAAAATCAATACATTCATCGTTTCACTCAGAATCTAAAATATATCAGTTCAGGATAAAATAATTTTCTAATAATTGTATAATTTTTATTTTGTAATAAACATTTTTTTCTAGTCTTAGTTATTTATATGGTTAACAGTGTCTTTTCTTACATGGTAAGTACCTATTATGTAACAATTAATATTCATAAAGTTCAATTTTGGATTTGAACGTGGCCCGTGGGAAGTTATCAAATATCTGTAGTGCCAAACAAAGCAATATAGGCCAATTATATTACGAACTAATAATTACATTAAACTGTCAGGTCCTACCATAGGCGCAAATAGGGTTGGGCTTGGGGGGCCCCCCTAATGTGTATTCAGCCCTCCCCCCAACCATCAAAAAATGGTAGGGCTGAAGCCCCCTTCCCCATTGAAATTCCCTATTTGCACCTATGGTACCTACCATTCATTATAAACTATTAAAATGTCTCTAATAAATCGTTCGAAATGAATATTGCGTACTGGCCGTAAATCGTAATTAAGGAGTTGTAGTTAGGCAATTTCTAGTTTTCTCTGTTACGCGTTGTTGTGTGCGTAGTAAATGAACATTAGTGTGAATGTTGTTGTCTTACACCCACCCGTCACCTCACCAATCCAAATCATTGTTGTGGGTGACTCTGGTACGCTCACGCACAAGTCAGTTTAAACGGCTACTGTTCAGGATTCGTAAATTTTTACGTCAAAAACATCTAATTTTACTTCAATCGGTGAAGTCTCCTTGAAACTGGCCAGTTTTTCAGTTTTGTTTAATAATATTTTTACACACTAGTACACTACTACAAGATTTTACATTGTTCAAACAATTTAAATCGACTTTGTGGAATTCTGAGGGTAAAGTTTGAAAAATGCTGACCGATGTCAAGAAGACTTCGTGTCGAAATAATTTACATTTTCCAGAAGTCTTAGATTGTTTCAATACAACGATCGGACCGATCGAAATTGAACGGGTAGTCGTCGACGGACACAAATTGGCCGGTACCCAATAGCCATACAATTTCAGTAATTTTTATGACGTTTAGTAATTTTCACTAATGGCCTTATTTATAATTATAAACTCGCAGTATATACTATGTATATATAAACCTAGTGATGATGGTTCGTTATGGGACTGTAGGTAATAATATATTATAGCATAGAACAATATAATGATTATAGTGTGTACCAATCTATAATATTATTATATTTTTTCAATAAATTAGTTAGTTGCCCGTGCTGTGTGTAAAGCACGAAAGCTTAGAGCTCAGATGCCGGCCGTCTTATTACAGAAATCATCGTAACAATATTGTATTTTTACGAATAACATATTGTTATTTGTTATTGTTATGACCCGAGCTTTTTAAGTGGGCGTGTAAAGGCGGCATTCACGACCGTTCCGTATACCGCGGCTACCGCGACGACTTTCGGACGGATCGCGCGGTCAGCTTGGCGGATACGGTTTGCAGCACTGTAGTTGTTAGTTTCCGATTTATGATAAGTACGGATGCGAAGTCGTACTGAAGATGACAATAACAACCTTGGGCCGTTTCCAAGTCTCTCGTTACTTTTGTTGAGAGAAAATAAACGCCAGTGTTTTTAATAGACGGTACGACCAGAGGATTGCGTAAAATGAACTTTTGGAGTTGACAGTATCGTTGCCGTTGGACAGTGACATTCTTCGTTAGTCATATCGATCGCCCTTTGCAGTGCGTTTGTGCGTAAACATCTATCAACAATGTCCACGCCAGCCAGGAGAAGATTGATGAGAGATTTCAAAAGGTAAGAACTTTATTGCTCACATCGCACGGGGCGACCGAAATGAACAAATCTCGTTGTTTTTTGCACGATTTACGGTCCCCGATTTGTCACTAAAAAACCCGTTGATATTAGATTGCAGGAAGATCCACCGACCGGTGTAAGTGGAGCACCCACTGACAATAATATTATGATTTGGAACGCTGTTATATTTGGGTAAAGCTATATCTACTGTGTTGACAAAGACAAACATTCCAGCTTAAAATGTTTTCTAGGCCACACGATACGCCATTTGAAGATGGTACGTTTAAATTAACTATTGAGTTTACTGAAGAATATCCAAATAAAGCACCGACAGTAAGATTTGTATCAAAAATGTTTCATCCGAATGTGTATGCAGACGGTGGAATATGCTTAGATATACTACAAAATAGATGGAGCCCTACATATGACGTGTCTGCCATACTAACTTCAATTCAAGTACTTAATTTAAAAAAAAAAAAATCATAATTTAATATAGTAATACCTGCTTTATTGGACACCTTTTTTTGGTGTCATATTATATAATAGATTAATGATTATAGACCGTATTTAATCTTATAACTTAAACAAATAGCGTGTTTTATGATATTGTTTGCTGTTGTGACTGTCGCGGTAAAGATAAGAAATACCATAGTTAATTTAGGTAATAATAACAATAAATCAGTCGATAATTATTTTTAGCCATTTGCTAATTTTTTTGTCTCTATTTCTAAATAGTTTTGATAAATAAATCGTTATTTCTATAAAAAGGTGCCTAATAAAGTAGATATATTTTATAACCTAACAGACTTTTCATATTTTGTATTTTTTTCATATTTAGTCATTACTCAGTGATCCAAATCCAAATTCGCCAGCCAATTCGATGGCCGCTCAGTTATACAAGGAAAATCGACGGGAATACGAAAAAAGAGTGAAGGCTTGTGTAGAACAGAGTTTCATTGATTAATTTTTTTTTTTTGAAGTGCTTAACATTTTCATCTTTAGTATTTATCAAATATGAAGAAAAATAAATATATATTATGTATATGTATAATATGTATTATTACATTTCCAAAAATTCAATATTTTTATTTTATGAATTTCATTTTTCTTTTATTTGGTAAACCATTGTTATATTTTGTGGCTTAAAACTAAACTAACATAATAAATATAAATATATAATATAATTTAAAAATAAAATGATTAAACATGTTTGAAATGATTAATCTATTAGAAACATTTAATGAATTGAGTTTTGTTTAATTATTATTTGTCCAAAATTCTGTTTTCTGATGATATGTCTAGTCTTGATAGTACTGTAAGTATTATTCATTTAAGATTGTTATTTACAATTATATTTTAGAATTTTTTGTTAATTAAGAACCAACTCGCCAAGCGATTATTAAAAATTATAATTATTAACACATAAATGATCTGTGATCATATTGATTTTTAATTTTTATGATTACTGGAACTAAACTACTTTACCTGGTGATCTTTTTTTTTTGTTGGAAGTTAATTTGAGACAAATTCTGATTGTGCATCATCCTTAATTCTTTAAAATATATGAATAAACCAAAATTTGTGACAGACGTGGTAACCAAGAGTGTTGTGTACATCGTAAACAAAAATTGCATGCTCCAGAAATCCTCAACTTAAAGATTTCCACATATTTTTTTTTACCATCATTCTTAATTTATTACTGTATTTAAGTTCGCTCGGTTAAGAATTGTTATATCAAAATAATAAACTACCTATTTATTTAATATTATCTTATATTACAAAGTGTTGATGAATATAAGAGTTGCAATAAAACGTGCATAGTAAATGTTAGGTTTAAATTTTTAAATGTCGTTCTTACAATGTCCGGTTTATGTTAATGGACACTTAACCGGTGGAATTCTGGTGGTAATAAAATCTTATTAGCCGGTTAATGTTACCCGACACTTAACCAGACATTGTAAGAACGTCCCTAGAAGAATAACATCATACCCTTATTTAATATATTTTATTCTATTCGTCTGTGTACTGTTGTTACGAATTTGCTATAATATTCCATATTCAGAGTTACAGGCTTTAGGTTCTTTAGTTGTGCCATGGATTTTAGATTAAATAATATTTTACCATCCATATTTCAATTTGAGAATAGTGTTTTATCTTTAGTTTATTTATTTAATTTTTTTTTTGAGATTTTATTATATTCTTTATTCGGAATGATAATTTTTGACTGATAAAAATTTCAAAATCAAATTTTTAATAGTAAACTTCATCCAACCCATGAGTTAATAAATAGGTATGACCACAACTTTGTGATACGCATACCACCCTTGCCACGTCTATCACATAGTTCTTCGCTTCTATGATATCCTACTGACATTGTTGACCAATGAAATGCGGACAACTACGAACAATGGTTTTGTATGTAGAATAGTGGGGAGATGTGCAAACCAGACAAAAACTGGTTTTTAGTAATCATACCTATTTAATTAGTCATGATCCAACCAATTATATTGATTATTTGAATATGTTATATTTAATTATTCTCCAAAACTATTAAAAATACATATACTACCAAAATTTGAATAAAATTATTTATTATTTAATGACATATACAATTATTACTTATATTAAACTGCAATTTATTTTATAATTGATCTGTATATAAAATATTATAATATTATGTATTATATTTAAAAGGTTAATACACTCAAAATTCATTTTCAAAAATAATAATTTAACTAATTTTTCAAATATCTTATACAGAATTAGGACACAAATGCACTCAAATGAGGTAAAAAAAATGCACCACCAATATAAGTAAAGGCAAGTATGCAAAAGTATTCTTGTAAAGTATAAATATTTAAAGGCACAATCATAAAATAATTTTCATGATCAATTTTGTTCTTGATTCACTTGATTACCAATATTAACTTGAAGTTCTTCATGATGTCTTTCCTTCTTTAAAAGTGTAATTGATATATCGTTCTCGGCAATGTCATTTGATATTTCCAAATTATAAGTGTTAACCTAATTTAAAAGAATTATATTAATTTATTTAAATTTTTTTTTTTTTTAAATATCAATATAGGTACCATCATTAATAAAGACAAAAAATATCGAGCAACTTCTTCTTTGTCTAGTCCACCAACTAATTCTCCAAATAATTTTTTTTCACCGATAAATTCAAAGCAGCTCAGTATACGTGTTCCATATTCATGTACATCAAATTCTATTCTTTTTTCTTCTTCTTCTAAAATTGGACGCAGGTTATTATGCCATTCCTGTACTCGTTGTCGCATTTTTAGTTGTTCATTCATCTAAAGTAATAAAGAATATAATAAAATTTCTTTTGTTAGTTAAAAAATTCAACTTACCATTTCAATTTGATTTTGTTCATGTTTCTGCATATCTATTGCATTTTTCTGATATGATTGGAAATTATCAATATTGGCGTCCTCCATCGGTTCTTCATTTTCCGGTTCGTCAACATTTCCGAATAAATCATTGTCATCATGAATTGGACTTTCAAAGCCTATAAATCCTGGTTCATCTGCATCAAAACAACAAATAAATGTTAATTTTACTAAGAAGTTATGAATATATTTTATATTGAATTATTGGGATTTTATACATAAAACCATTCTAACTCTGGAAATCTGGTTGAAGAATTATGATTTCTACTAAAAGTATTGAGTATATAAGACATAATATAATATTGTTATTTTTACAAAACGTTCTTTATAAGAAACATAAAATATATGGTTCAATATTAGAGCTTTGAGAGAAATTTTATTTGATGTGCAAAATTATATCCTAATAGACTACTAAAAGGCAAAACACGGTAAGCTGAACATACAAGCTCTCGTGTTTCTCTGACCATGTAATAATTAAAAGGTTACATATTTTGGATAAGTGATATTAACAAAAAGTGGGGCCAACCAACAAACGCATACTTTTAGCTCCATAATTAATTTTGCATATATCATTTTTTAATTTTAATACAGAAGCCACAACTAAACCCTAATCCAACCTCCTTTTCTTACAGTTTTTTTAAAAAAAAAGTGTTATATGCGTATTGTTTGATATATAAAAGCAGTTTCCAACCTGTGTCCTAAGGGTACCATAGCTCATACGAGAATAAAAAAATAATATTTACAATTTATTAAAGTTAAAAAAAAATGGGTGTCGCTCTGCTGTACAGTAGGTTACAAGTGGGTCAATGTATTGGATGGTGTTAAATTTGAATTTAATTATAAAATACCACTATATAAGAAAAACGATTTTGAGCGAATACAGTGAGTCAGCCTATATTTAATTTTATAATAATAAACGGGTTTGAAACCCTTTTGAAAATGTATACAAATGACAAAATTACAATAACATTCATAACAGAGTAAAAAATTTAATTACAAATAATGATAAATAAATAAAGTTAATTGGATTTAAGTCATTAAAGCTGATTAATATTAAAAAACGAAAAAAGATTAACAAATAGTAAAATTAAAGATCTATAGAAGGATCCTCATTGGCCATTAACATTAAACGCCTAATAGGCTCACTTTTCATATAATTGTTCGGACATATAGGGACATGAAAAAGAACACTAGAACGGTTTTGATGGGGAGGGACTTTGAAATTCAGTAAGGATAATAAATCAGATTAGACTTATCAACTTGACCAGATAACAGTTCCTTTAGAAACTTTACTCAAAGCATTCGCCTGCGTTCAACTAGAGAGACGAGACCTAATTTAGCAGCAACAGCTGAATAATCGTGCGGAGGGTGTTCAATGCTTAATAAGAAACCAGCAGAAGGAAGGAATCGGAAGGAACTCTTTCAAGTTGGAGAGAGTCATTAGCAGTATAAGGACACCAAAAAACCATACCGCATTCTAATATAGGTCATACTAAAGTACAATATAGTAGTTTAAATGACGAATCTAATTTAAAATCCCTAGCCAGGCTGTTGATAAATCCAGGAGTTTTCAAGGCCTTACAATATACCATGTCAATATGTGGGCGTGGATCAAGTGTGCAGGTAAGCTTGAATCCAAGATCAATAACAGATTCATTAGCACGTAAAATTTCAGAGCCTAGAATATTATAAGAATAAATTATTGGTGAACGACTATGTGTGTAAGTTAAAAGATATTACTAAGTATATTTAATGATATTATTGTGAATAAAGTAATTTATAAATAACCTATTTCCATGGAATCTAGTTTTAAATTTTCAACCCTTTAATATAAAAGATGAAAATTTTATAAATTTTCAACAACAAAATAACTATTAAATATTATATTTGATAACCTTTGTCAAAATTCAAACTTTAAATGCTTATTAAAAAAAATTGTGCCTATGTATATTTAATATTTTTCAACTGCTATTGTAGCAATATTATCAAGTCTTGTATTAATTTTCACGCTTTTTGGCCCAACAAATAAGATATTACTACTATTTGTAGAAAATTGTAAAATAAACTAAGAAGACTGTTAAATATTTGAATTCAGAAGAAAACTTTATTATTCGGCAGAGTGCAGTTCTAAAGGAGCGACTGAGTGTTTTCTAATAATGCAGGCCTCTTCTCAACAAGATTTCTGAATACCTCATTACCTCAAACAGCTGAACAATTAATTTAAGCAATATTTTAATATTTTTTGAAAATTTTCTAGAGGTGTTGATGAAAGACCATGAATGGGTTCTGAATACAGTTTGTGAAAAACACTCAAACCTATCTTCAACTTTAATTTTATTATTTGTTTATATTATGTTCAATACATTTATTTAAATTGTTTATTAATGCGAATTAGTGTTCATTTTTATCATGGTCCTCATGGAATTCACAGAAGGGTTAGGCCGGGTAAAAAGGTTGGGAATTGCTGCTATAAAGTTTAAATTCATAAAATTTCTGAGCTGAGCAATAAATATATTGGTTAAACAATTATTTTTTGTGTACAGACACTAAAGTTTAAGAAAATTCTAAATACTAACTATGTTTAGAAAAAAGTTATTAAAAACTATTAATATAAAAAAGATATATTGGCTAAAATATAAATATAAATACAAAAAGAAAATTAGAGATGTTATATTAAGAAAATAGCAAATTTAGCATTAAGGGGCCTCACTACCAAGTCTTTTTTTTGTCAAAAACCACTGTTTCTAATTCCAACGATATGTGTTGACAATTATCACGATTTTCATTCTGAAAAGATATTCTGATTGTCCGTAATATATACAAGGGAACGATCGAGCCACATTTTTAATTTTTGTAATTTAAATTGCCATAAAAATTGTAAAAAAATCAAAAAAAAAATACAGAATTTCCAACTTAAATATTTAATTAACCAAATACAATTTTAAAAATGTGCCTCGATCGATCCCTCGTACATGTTGTGGAAAATAAGAATATTTTGTCAGAATGAAAATTGAGGTAATCGTTGCGACGTACTGTTGGAATTAGAATCGTATGTTTAAGTGAAAAATAAGCATTTTTTCATGATCACAATATTATTATATATTGACTTGTGTGTGCGAGTGCGTGCGAGAGCTACAATTGACCCGCATGGACGCCACACACACTAATAATCATTTACGACTAACACATAGATCTCGGGTGGCTACGACGAGATTAGAAATTGCATAAATGATTCTCCTTAAATCAATGAAATTGCGAGGCCCCTTAAAACAATAATCAATCATTAGTGAAATACTGATATCAAATCCATTGTGATATATTTTTGTTATTTGACAATTATATAGACAACAATAGGAAACGCATTCCACTGAACTAATTTTGATTAGCAAGATTAGCATAAAAAACTATAAGTACAAAACTCTACCGAGAAAAAATAGCTTTTAAGCCAGGCTTAAACCAAAGCAGTTAGAAACGGAGAGTCATTATGTAATTTCAGTTGGCATGTAGGCATTCTGTATAAATAGATCAAAAAGAGCCAAAATATTTTATAAATTATGTATTGCTAATATAAATGTTTGATAAACATTTTTATATACAATAAGATAACTAAATTTAACATACCACCATTTTTCAATTTTTCTTCAATTTCCTTATCATGATCTAAGAATAAATTAAAATATGATTATTATTAATTCTGATAAAAACTGGTCAAGCTTAAAATTTTAAAAACTTACAGTCAAATCGTTCTTTTTCTTCCTCTGAAAAACCAATGAAAAAATTTGTATTAAAATAATTTTAAGAAAGAATATTAGTGAAACATTTTTAACATTTACCTATCATGCGTTTTTTTTTAAGTTTAGCTATTTCAGATCTTTGAACTTCCAGTGCATCATGGATAAGTTGTCGAAATACATTATCAACATATAAACCAGATTTTAATTTAAACAATTGACATGTTAATTCTGCTACAGTATATGTTGGTAACCAGATTCCACTATCCTAGACATTTTTCACATACAAAAAAATATTTAAAAAATGGAGTTAAATCATATCTACTTTGAATAAGCCATTGTTTTGAGGTGGCCTTTAGCAGCTAATGTGTCAATAAAAATAATTATATAACTCTGTTGATAGGTTTTATCAGATTTAAGTAAGTAATGAAAATGTATTTTAAAAAAAATGTACAACTACTCCAATGATTATTAATAATAACTATTGAAAAATTGGAGGCCTAACACCTTCAATGACTTCTTATTTAAATAACAATAATAAATTATCATACAAATAGGGAGAAAATGTTCATCAAACATCTATGCATTAGTTACTTTGTAACCTTTTCACTGCTAAGTTTTTTTTTCCTAAAATACTCATCTCTGCTGAATTATTTTGCTTTTTTTTTAATGTTTATAAATGATTAATATTTAATTTAGTTAAATTAAATCATGAAAATAATCAAAAAAAAAAAAAAATAATAAGATTGACTTGACTTGATTTATAAGTAGTTATTTTCTGCATTTTTCGGTGTAATCACTAATGTGAAAACCTGCTTATTTTGTTTTATAGATAAAGGAACGTAATAGTACGTTCATAGCAGTGAGAGGGTTAAGAGTAAAATTAACAAATTAACTTTATACTACAAAAAATATTTGTAAGTTAATGTATACAAACTTCTTTTTTAGATCCTTTTTTCTTCACTAAAGGTTTGTCTGCAAAATTATTATCATTAGAATTTGAAATTGGATCCCATATATCTTCAGTATTTTGTGGTACTTGGCTAACATTCAATACATTTCCTAGACTGTAAAATAATATAAACATCATTATAAAAGTGCAAGTTTATACTCAAAAGTATTCTATTTACTCTGGTAACATTGCAACTGCATTAGTGGCACGAATTTCTTCATTAACTGTCTGATCAAAAATTACTGGGTCGGGAGTACTTGGAAATACTTCATCGATGTCATCATCAACTTCCATTAAATTCATTGGTAGCTAAATAATTAAAATTATAAAGTTAAAAAAAAAACCATGGTTAAGCTAAAGTTTATATTTATAATAATAATAATATACTGGGTCAGTGCTTTTTCGATAATTGAGAGGAGTTGCAGAATTTGGATCTTCATTAGTGGGACAATCAAATTCCTCATTTACAGCCAAATCACGATTTAGAGGAAAATTTATCCTTGAAAAATAATATAATTAAAAGATACAATCTATATACTTTATTATTTTCTATTATATTCTTACATATAGTCATATTTCTTTCCAATATTATCTCCATTTCCAATACAGATATAAGGCAATATTTTACTGTACTTGTTATCTACTTTTATATTAGCATTGAGTACAATTTTTTGTACTGGTGGTTTTTTACTTAAATTTATTACTTTGCAGTCATATTTTTTCACTTTAAAAGAATGTACATGTTTATATTATTTATTGGCAATTAAACAACAGTTACACTTGAGGTAATAGTGTAATACTTATAGTAAATGTACTTACGTGTTCCAATGGTGTGTTCTTTAATTGGTTCAAAAGAAGAATAAAATTTTACCTTTTTTTCTTTCTTTTTTTTTTTATTTCCTACTTCGTTCTCTGTATCAAAATCTATATCAATATTGTCATTTATTCGGCTGTTATAACAAATAAATATTTAGTATTATTTACATTTATAATCAAATCTTAATAATGGTAAATATATTATTATTTACACCAACTAAATTTTACAAAACTAGAAATTATATTCCAAAAATTTTACTAACAAATCAAAACTTATAAAAATAGTAATAAGAAAAAATTATCCTTTATCTAATACTGATCAAGTATTGAAAGATAGTTGTAGGTCTGCTGGGTGCTAAAGCCACTCAGGTGCCCTTAAAAAGACAGTACAATAAAGTAAAAACTTCTTTTAAAATAAAATGTCAAAAAGATTGATTCAAAAATCATATTTTTACTTCTATTTGGAGAATGGTTTTATAATAATTTAAGGTTTCAAAAGTAGATAATTATAATATATAATTCCCGGAGTCGGCCAATCAGGGTTTGGAGGGAAAATATACCTATCGTACAAAGTTATTAAGTGAGATTAAAACTCACTAAGCTCGGAATTTCCCAATAAGTTTCATCATGACATCAATTAATTCATCAACTCTTTTTTGATAAATAAGTATGACATTTTGAATCATTAATGCAGCTTCTACAAATACTAAGGAACCTCCTAGATCAGTATCTACTCTCAAGTGAATCAAAAACGAATCCAGTTCCTGAAATAAAAAACACATTACAATGTGAAATATTATTTTCTTCGTATTGAGGTTAAGAATTACCTTGATAAGATCATATTTAAGAGGTTCGTTATGTTTTTTCTTTGCGAGTGTATCGACAGGTCGTAGTAAATTTTTAAATGCTTCAGCAAAATCACTATCATCTTGATATTTACGTACAGACGTTTCCGCTGAAAATAAAAATATATATGATATTTACATTTATGGTTTCATTCACTTAAAATTAATATTTTATAAAAGTACCAATTGATTCATTTTTTGAAAGGTCCAACATTGTGATATATTGTATGTTATGTTATCTTGAAGAACAAAAATATAAATAGTACAAATTCTGAAATTTGAAATATTATTAGTAATTAGCTTATTTTTTTATAGAAACCTTAGTTAAAGATTAAAAAATAATATTATACAAACACTGGATAGGCATCTCACATTACTCATCCGGCTTCTGTCAATATTGTATTATTATTTTTACTTTGAAAGATAAAACATTCCAAAACTTGTTCGAAAAATAGCTCTATTTACTAGTTTATAGAATGTTTTCAAATTTAATAATAATACAAAATTCTATAATCAGACAATTTGTTTAAATTATATGCCTAAGATGGTAAAACACTTATGATAATTCCAGTCAGAGACAACATAAGTGTGTATGGTAAATTCCTAAAATATTTTTAAAAAATAAATAAATATTTAATAATACGTAATTTAAAACTATAATAAGCAAATCTGACTATATACCTTAAGTTTTTACCTCCCTACAAATTGATCTAATGACACCTTCACCAGTTTCCAACCACATTTCAATAACTTCATATGTACATATGAAATTGTTTTTAAAAAAAATGTATATCTATTATATTTATACTAATACACCATTATGTAACCAATAATTAATATGCTTTTCTTAAAAAAAATGTTCAAGTTAAATATTTTTATTTGCATATTTTATCAATTTTAACTTAAAAAACTTAATTTCCGAGCATTAATAATAACAATTGTACATTTAAAGACTTAAAGTAAAGACTGTTTATTTAGTATTGAAAAATAAAATAAAAGAAATGGAATCATTCAAGTTGTATATTATAAAAGTTTATTATTATTTAATTAATAAAATGAATTACTATATCTTAAATTGTACAAAAAATATTTTCAAACCATTGAAATTAGTAACTATTTATGTATATGTATTAATAATATAAGAATATGAATTAAATGAAATCACCAATGACATTTTAATCTGGTAGCAATTTCCTCTAAAAATGATATATGATTGGCATATAATTTCAGATTTCTATCTAAATCTACCCATTTCACTCCAACTGCATCATCTCCTGCGTGAAGTTTTAACATTCCTACATGATTTCCTTTCTCATCATGGAAAAGAGTTGCAACGGTTTCCATCCAAGCATTATCCGTGTTTCTAGGATCATCAACATATCCACAAAAAACTTCTATGCCTTCATTAAATATTTCCTCTATTTCTTTTTCTATTTTTACAGCATCTTCTTTAGATTTTTGCAGCAAGTCCATAGCTTCTTCCATAAATTCTCTCTTCAGAGTAGTTGAAATTACTTCTCCAGAATCAACCATACCACCAGGTAATGCCCACTCACCGGAATCTTTTCTTTGAATAGCAACAAACTGAAGAATAGGTTTATTACTGTTTTCATTAAATACATGTTCATTTTTAGATTTTTTCCAACGAGTAACAATTGGATCAGCGGCATGATTTGGGCCCCAACGACCAAGAACTCCACGGCCAGTTACTCCAGTTCGGCCACAAGGATTCAGGGGATAGCCATTTTTTATTTCATACATTCCAGTCAAACTAATTCTATTAACATAACCATCAATTGAATTCCAATTGGGTTGGAAGTCAGATACATTCAAATCTAGATCAGCCCACGGTTGACCAAAAATACATGTTGATGTAAAGAATGTTGGATTATACATGGGATATGGGGAATTCCAACTAACTTTATCATCTGGTACATGAAATCGAACAATTTTGCCATCTGTTTTAGGATAAATGTTGTTTCTACATTTATAGTGGAACATGATTTTGGCGAGCATTTGCTTTTCTTCTAGTAACAATAAAAACAAATATCTCATGTTGGAATTTATTAGTTTATTTATTTTAGCATGTATAAGAATATAAATACTATAATATAATATAGAAATTATGGGTCTTGTTATTTTCTTAAAATAAATACTTTAGGGCTCTCAGGTAAATACAATAAAATGCAGATGATAACATTCTTAAAAATATCATCTATATGACTACCATGCATGGGCCTACCGGGAAATTATTAAAAGGGGCCCCCTGGCCAACTTGAAAAAAAAAAGGCTCACTTCGGTAGCAAGTAAATTATTAGGTGAATTATATGAGCTATCATATCAAAAGGAAACAATGTACAAAAAAACACATTTTTAAAATCAATTATTTATTTTTTAATTTTTTAAATACTGGGCTTCTATAGTTCCTAATTTATTAATTATGTATTCAGAATCAATTCTGTTCAAAATATCTTATAGATTATTTTCAGAATATTTGTGAGTTATTATCCACCTTAACAGTCATAACTCACAACCGTGACCACCATGGGCGTGACTAGACTTCATCGGCAGGGGCATCCAAGCTAATAACCGATGTCACCTTATTAGTGAACTGAAAAAGCCCTAAACACCCAAAGTCGTATTTTTATAAGCCCCCCCTCCACAATGAAATATTTATATAATTTAAAAAAATATGTAAAATAAAATATTAAATATGATTAAAACTAAGTTATTAACTGAGTTTTAATCTTTATTTAGATTAATAGTTTAGGTATTGAATCTATGGTCAAAATTATGAAAGAATGGTATTAAAATAAATTAAATCATGCATTTTATCTATAATTGTATTTTATTTGTTACAAAATATTTTAACCTTGGAACCTAATTAAATTATTTATTGCACATTATTACTTATCATAATAATAAATGAACTCTTAAGTACGACCATATGTTTCTTTATTGTTCATTGTAAACTACATACTAAACCAATGATAAACTCGAATAGACATGGACATTGATAATTTGTAACAAAAAATTATTATGTATACCAGCGGTTCCCAAATTGTTTTGGCTCGTTGTGCCTCTTTTTAATTATGGTTTTTTTCAGGGCGCGCTTCCCCAAGTCATAGCATAATACTCAAAAATATTTAAAAAATAAATAAACCTAAAAAATTGTCCTGGGTAATATGGAAATATTTATTTAATCAAAATCATACATAATTTATACATTTTTATTTACATAATCGTAATCGTTTCCGTAGCCACCTAAGTTGTTTTCAAATTTTTTTTTTGGACCATATAAAATTCAAAGACAGCTTTGCGCACCATGGAGCTACAGCGCCCACTTTGGGAACCACTGATGTATACACTTCATATAAATGTACAGAGATTATATTAATAAGATTACTATAACTGTTATATATACAACTTGAACTATAATATATTAAGACTAAATAAAGAAAATATTAATTATACATTTGGTTAAAAATTAAACAAATTCTAAGTAATATAAAAAATGACTGTTCAACTAAAAATTGGCAAAGAAAATATTCCAATCAACATAATATGGCTACGAGACAATTGCAGGTAAAAATAATCATAAGCGCTGAATAATTGTATTAGTTTTAAATAAAAAGAAAAAACAATTCATGCACATTTAATAAACCTACTTAGTTCATGTTTTTCAGGTGTTCGGAATGTTATGATCATAATAATCATAGTAGAAAAACAACTACTCAACAATTTCTTAAATCAATTAATATTAAAATCCAAGATTATACACATGGAGATAATAATTTCTTCATTGGGTGTTAGATTCTTATATAATATATATAAATTATTTTAAAAAGTATCTAGTTAAAGTTTAAACCATATTTAAAATGTATATATTTTTTTAATCTTAGGGTCTGATGGTCATAAATCTGAATATCATACTAAGTGGGTGATTGACACATGGGCAGGAAATAAAATAAAAATTGAACCAATTTCTTGTTTCGGCGAAGAACTTGAGAAACTACCTTCAAAAGTATCTTATAATGATCTATCTCTAAAAGAAGGTCAAAAAAAATTGATAAAATCAATTTTAAAATATGGTGTAGGAATTGTAACAAATGCAAGTAAATATTATAATATTATTATAAAGTTTTATTTTAATAATATGAGGTTGTCAACTTGAAATGTTTATGAACAAAATAATGAAACGGTGTATTACCTATATCAACAAAAATGACTCCAAATGAAAAACTCTCACGGCTCATTGATAACTTTTTTTTATTTAAAAGATGAATACTTTTATAACAAATATTCTGAATCATTCAAAATATATCCAAATTTTAGCTACTATAAATTTAATTTTTAAAATCGGGGTTTAATCCATCCTGCAAAATGTTCTCTTCTTTTAAATTAAAAAAAGTTAACAAATTCCGTTGAACCCTTCCCCCTTGAATACTCTCATGATGAGTACATACTAATTATAATGACTTTTGATTCCTTGAACACTTAGATACACACAACATTTTTTAAATTTATTATACTAATATAGGTAGAACCAACATTGGAAGCTACAGAAAAATTAGTTAGGTTCATAGCACAACCACAAGAAACCATATTTGGAACGATGTGGACAGTTGGAATTAATGAAAATCATGAAGATCCTGCATATTCTAATGGTCCATTAATAGTACACAATGATAGCACATATTTCAATGAAAGTACTGGGTAAAAATCTAGAATGAATAATCATAATATTGACAGCTTAAATTTTCTAATTTATATAATATAATACCTAAGTGGCTAACATAATTTCATATTTCAGTCTTCAAGTATTTCATATGTTGGAAAGGGACATTAACTGTAAAGGAGGTTTAAGTACTATAGTTGATGGGTTTAAAGTAGCAGAAATATTAAGAAAAGAAAATCCATTACATTTTAAAAATCTTACTGAAATTGAAATAGAATCTGAATACATAGAACCCGGTTTTCACTATAAATGTACAGGACCAGTCATAAAAATTGATCCTACTACAAAGGAAGTATATCAAATAAGGTGAATATTCTATTTTTATTTTTGTTATTTGATATTGCAACAATAATGACGGTGATTTTGAAAAATCAGGTTCAATATATACGACCGCAGCGCTGAACCACCATCACGTATTAATGAGTTTTACGAAAGTTATGCTCATTTTATAGAAATATTAGAGAGAGAAGAGATGTATTGGAAGCATTGTTTGCAGCCAGGAACTGTGGTGGTTTATAACAATTGGAGAGTGTTACACGGCAGAACATCTTTTACAGGGAAGCGGATTTTTGGTGGATGTTATGTATCAATGACTGAATTTTTAAGCAAAGCAAGGACATTAAAATTAATATCATAATATTTGTCTAAACATAATTTAGGTAGTCAAATTGTTTAGAAATTAACACTGTCCAGTGTAAGTAAATATTAAAATATTAAAATATTGATAGAGGTACTTACAGTATTGTTATTGAAGTAGGTATTTTCAGAAAATATAGAATTATAGAAACATAATAAACAATAATTTAACTTCCGATAACTTGTTGTTAAAAGTGTTTATGAATATAGTACCTAACTTTGTTTTAACGAATAGCTATTTTTTTGGCGGTAAAAAGTCATTGTCAATATTATAATATTTATCATTAAATAAAATAATAATAAAAAATCAATTGGGACTACCTACCGTATTGCCGTTAACTGGTGAACTTTACGATGCGCACTATTTTTATATTTTGACTGTGTTTATACTTTAAAAGTTAAAACTAAATTTTAGATCCGATCCAAGACGGTTATTTGGATAAATTTCAATAACATAAAGTGGCCGCAAGCCTACAACTTGCTGGGAACCGCCGCACCGGCTACTTTCATAATTCATTGATCACACTTCAGATTCAGACAGATTAGTAGATTACAGAAACAAAATTTAACAACGATTTCAGCGTCCGACGCTGCGACGCGAATCTACCGATTTTAGCGTCCTATGCTGTGATTGGTCCAGATACTGATAAGCATATTTCGGTGATAGTAACAAAAACATGCTTCATTTAGGAATATGGCTGTCGGGGTGGGGACGCGGCTTCAATAACAAAATAATATTATACATTATACCTATTACTATACTCAAACTCAATGCTATTACCTATTATGTAGTATAATAGTCGGTTACTCGGCTGTAGTTGAGGCTCTACATATTATTATAATCATTAAAGAAAGTTAAGAAAGAAAGTTCCTATACATATAATGGGTATGCTATGCCACCATTTTGCGCCTCATTTATCAATGATATAATAAACCGGGAAAAATTCATATTCACATGACATTATTAGTCGCAAAATGGCGGCGTAGCATACGTATCATCTATAGTGCCCTACCATAGTATATATAGTCGACTACATTGACCTATTATAAATTATAAATAATAGGTCAAGCTGGTCGGCTGTCTAGCTGTCGTCTGTAACCGTCGTATAATGTATATCCACTTTTAATACGTATTATCACAGATTTCTATACTGGGTGATTCTTTTATCAAACAACACTTATTATTTCAAAGTGTAAATTTTTTTGAAAATATTTTTTTACATAGTTTCAAGTCGCTTATAAAACAAAATTTTTATTAAAAAATTATATTTTTAAATATTTTTTATCCTTATAATTTTTTTAAGTTTTTTACTTTTTTGAATAACAACATAGCCACATAGGGTTTTAATTTTATATTCTAAAGTAGAATATTTTTCTTAGTATTTTGGTACATGAAAATTGAATTTGGGGCGAGTAGTTTATGAGTTATAAGTATTTAAAGTTTAGACGAGCGGTGAAGTGGACAAACATTTCGCGGGGTAACCCCGAACCACTCCACATCAACAATACTACAATAATTATGTGTTGGAATTGAGTCCGTTTAGAATTATTTATCGAATTGGGTCCGTTTATAATTATTTATCGAATCGTAGACCGTAGTAATGTAATGACTAATGAACGAATATAATAACATACAACATAATAACGTACCTACTTTCCGGTGAAAATCGAAATACACTGATTAGGTTTAATAATAGTAATATTATCTTATCGTTTAGTAATAAAATGCGTTGAAACTATATGTCTATATACTATATAGCATGTAAATCCTTTCATTCACACTTCAATTCAATGTTTTATTCTGCTAAATGCTAATCTGCTCACCCAAGCATAATATTTCAATTTAAACACGTTTAAAAAAAAAATGAAATCGACTTTTATATTAAAATGAGAAGTCCAGAGGGAAGAAGAAGAAATTGTATAATATATCCAAGGAAGATTTTGTAAAGGGAAAAATGACGGAAAAAATATTGGAAAAAATTAATTGCTACGTATTTGTTAAATCTGTATCAATATTCAATCTGTATCCAACAAGTAAACTGAACATTGTTAGTTAAAGTTTAAAGTTTAAAGTAACAGAAGTGGCTCCGGTTGTCAGACTCGAGTTCTTCCGAGCTGGCATTTAAGGAGTGTTGCCCGCATGCGTATAAACATAAAACTGCAAACTTTGGATGGCTATAACTTCCAAAAAAGTTCAAACAGTTTCGAAATCAGCGTTGAAAAATTTGAAATTCGTGAGGGGCGTCGCATAGGAGCAATTTCAACTTTTGACTTGGGGGGGGGGGGGCTGAATATATTAAAGGCATGCGGACAGTAGCGTACGCAGGATTTTAGTTCGGTTAGGGTTTTACCTGAGTAAATTATTTTTTGCTGAACCGTTTTTATATTATAATTGGTTATAACAAACTATAGTTAGTCTCAAATTTAGTCTACATTCAGTCATTCAGAACACTCAAGTATTTAACCTGAACACCTGGCCATCTATAGAGCCTCTTCGGGTCGTAATAAACGTGGTAATAATCGATGGACGATGATACACGTCCATGCATACGATGATTATGGCAGACGTTTAGCAATGTTCTAAATTAGTAACAAAAAAAAACTGAAACTATGATTACCGACGTCTTTGTCGATTGTCATATTTAACAATTTATTTTATATCTATTAAAAATGACATACCATTGATCAACTCCGTGTATTGAAATGGTGGTAAATAAGATTTTTTGTAAAAGGAAGACATTTCAGGGGGGGTCAGAACCCTAGAACCCTACCCCTGCGTACGCCACTGCATGCGGACCATTCCAATATAGTATATTAAAATTGTATGTCCTAGGTTTTTGAGGGGGGCTACTGCTAAGTTTAGGGGGCTTAGCACCCCCCAAGCCCCCCTCAACTTGCGCCTATGGGAGAGTGGTAAAGTACATTTTAGCAGTGCAATATATCAATAGTGATTAGCATCGATTAAAGAATAGTGTTTATAAACAAGTAATATCATAGAATAATATATAAACAAGTAACATAATAATATTATCATAGTCACCACTCACCATAGGGGATTTGGGTTATTATTTGTTATTTTTATAAAATATAGTATATCAGTAGGTACTTAAATAGGTATAAAAAGTCTTGGTGGTGAGATACGCACCCCCCCCCCCCCCCCGTAAATACGCCACTATTGTTCTGTGATTTCTGATTATAGTGATTATACGTACATGGTGGATACCATGGCTAAATATACAGGCATGTTCTGCTGTATTCTAGAATCACTATCACTGCGCACTTGCCCAAGGTGACGTCACGTTCCCGCCAAAAACAGATGTTATCAAATATCAATATTCAAAATGAAATTCAAATAATTGATATACATTGAATATTTTACATTTTTACATATGTATTTGAAAATAATTTTTAATTATACTTAATTCCAAAATGTATAATGTACAACATATTCGTCATTACTGTATTATTGTATTACATATTTACATATTATGTTATTGTTTCCTGTTCGATAAAAATAAAAATATTGCACCTAATAACATTTTATTTGTTTATTTTGATGAATTTATAGCCATGGCTAAATTTAGCTATTTAAAAAAATTATAATTCACAAGTCCCAACCTGATAAGTCCTAACTCCTAACCATACCCGTTTTATACTTATGTATGAATGTAGTAAAAATATTGTTATAGTTTTATTAATAATTAACATTATGTGCCTGAAAATGCCTAATTGTTTTGTTGATGGTTGTCGGAACAATACGACTTCAGGGAAAAGTAATTGTTGGCACACGTCGTGTTCTTACCGAAGCAGTTGACACGACGTACTCGCGGTGTCAGGAAAACAATAATAAAATGATACAATTTGGTAAATGGTAGGTAGAGTATAATATTTGTATTGACCAATTATCTCAGATGATATTAATAATAATTTAAGTGCAATTGACGATAGACGTCTCTATGTCAACTACATACACAACACTCAATAATAATAATACAATTCATGATAACAATATAAAATGATAATACAACATACGGGGAGAACTTATCTCAGTGCAACGGCGGCGGCGGCGACCGAACTACCGACAATACTTGGTCACGGTGGCTGGCAGTTGTCCGAAAAATGATAAGGACCCGAAAATCGAAAATCGAAAAAGTAGTGCCAACCATTGTAATCGAAATGTTGTAATATAAATTATTATTATTATTATTATTATTTCTGTTGATAAAAGTTATACTATGATAAAAATTATACTATGATAAAAGTTATACAATTCCCGCGTATTTTGTAGTTTACGATTTCACTATTTCAGTATTTCGAACTATTTTCGTATTTCGTATTTCGTATTTTCGTATTTCAGTATTTCGAACTATTTTCGTATTTCGTATTTTCGTATTTCAGTATTTCGAACAAAAGTTTGTAATATCTAAGTATATTATATAAGTTGATTTTGGAAAATGGATTTTGGTAATTAATTATTATGATTTATGATAGTAGTACTGTTGTAGAAATATTCAGCGGCGTAGCCAGGGTTATGGAATGGGAGGTTTAAGTATAAATTAAAACACCCAAAACACCAAAACACCCCTGGCTTCGCCACTGGAAATATTAAATTTTTTTGACGCATGAATTAAAAGAACCTTTTATTAACATTATAAATAACATTTTTTTTAAACTAAAATTAACTAAACAGTTTAAAAAACACAAATAATTACATTTTTTTTTTTTTGATAAATAATAAATAAATACATTATACATCGATAGTAACATTAAATTAACAATAACCAAACAACATTTTATTTATATTTACTTGATGATATTCCTAAATCCACTTGTCAATTGTCAAATACAATTTGATTTAGATGAATTGTTGAGTTATTTATTTATTAATTGGTACTAAATGATAAGCAACTTCACTTCTAAATGTATTCCCAATAATTCAAAATGTTGTTATAAGAATTGTCTCTGTTAACTGTCTAGACATCAATCATGATCACAATTATTTTGGTGTACAAGATGAACCCGTTGTCGAACATAATGGTATGTAATGTATGCAGTATATAACATTTTTAATTGTAAATAAAATATATTAAATGTACATCCTTCTTCCCCTGAAAGTATTGCATGTATTATTTATTTTGATTATTACTCATGATTGTAAGCAGGGCCATATTTAAGGAGTGGTTCGGGAGGGCAATAGCCAGGGTGGGCCACCCTAGCTGGATTATGTTAGGGGGCAACAGTATTTAACCGATTATAAGAAAATAAAATTATTTTTTCGAACACGCAATGGAAAATTATTAATTATTAATAAATATATAAATAAATTGTGTAATATTGGTTCCCAATCAACAACTGTGAAATATTTTTAAGGCGAAGCGAAAATTTGTTTTTTTTTTTAAAATGATCTCTTTTTTGTTTAAATACTAAATTGGATACCACAAATCCTTACAATTACCTTGTGTCTTGTCGCTTATACTTTATAGGAGTATGCTATAGAAATATTATATATATTATTTACAATAGGTAGGTATCTAAATATTTAACTCTCAAAAGGTTACTCAGTGGATTTTAGTAAAGTTTATAGGTTAATAGGTAGTTTATTTAAATGGTTGCCATTGGTTACATAATATATTACTATTATAATAAAATTAGTAGAAATATGGTATACACATTTTTTACAAATATAATTTATGGGCGGAATAGCTAGAAAAATAATATAATAATACAATTTAGTCTTCTATAAAAGTTTGTTATATATTATAATTTATAACTATATTTAGTTAATCATAAGACACTTATTTTTGATTTTGTGTGAATAATAAATATTGTGTAAAAATACTGAAATAAGAAAAATTAATTATATCCAAAGCCAGTGGCGCCAAAATTATATTGCCCACGAGCGACAAAATCTTAAACACGGCCCTGATTGTGAGTATTTTTCTTTACTAGTTTAAATCACAGGTACTGAAGTTTCATAATCTATTGACGATCTGGATTCCGGATTGCCATTTAATATGGTTCTAAGGTAACATTTTATTTTTAATTGATAGAACCTCTGCTTCCGGTTGCTGTAGAAAGACCACACTCCTACACCGTAGTTTTAGGAGTTCAAAGGGGCACTGAAATAATAAGAGACAATCTTGGGTTCATGTATTATAAAAACAAAGTCACACAGAATAAAATGTGAGTATTAACTGTACAATTTCTTATTAAACAAAAGTATTTTAAATTATGAACATACTTTTTAGTTACTTGGCATGTTATGAAAAGAAGTTGGAAGGACAGTGCCGGGCAACTGCTCACATATCTCCAGACCGCAATGATGATAGGTTGACACTGTCGAAGCAACATATTATCCATCATGTAAGGGAACTCAACCTCAATGTTCCCCTGCTTCGACAGGAGATAACGGAAAGGGCTTTAGAGAGGACCATAAACTCATATACTCCTCGTGGAATTTATATGCAAGCAATTGCTAAGTTAGTACCTACCTATAAACTTGATTTTTTGCTTATTTTGTAAATAACAATACATATTGTACATAAGGTATGTAACTATGCATAGTTGATGGTTAGTTTTGATATCCTTAAATTTGATATCCTTATTTACTTGAGTTTGATATGATGTTTGAATTAGTTTTCCAGAAGCTGCAGAAAATTATACGTTTCTACAGAGTGTAGAGAGGATGCGGCGATTAAGACGAAAGTTTTTTCCTCAGACTCCACGAAACATGGCAAATTTGCACGATTTGTTGACAGCTGCAGACAATGAAAATTTTGCAATGACACTGCAAAACCCTCCTAACAGGTTAAAATATATTAATTTTTCATTTATTAAACACAAAACATACAAAAATTATTTAAATAAATCATTTCAATAGGTTTTATCAAGGTCCATTGATGGTAGAGGGAATTGTCAGTGGAGTCATTTTTTGTAACGTCGCCAATATAAATATATTTGCACCAGATTTAAGAAGTGTATGTCCATTTCACAATAAATAAATAATTTATACAAAGGTTATTTAATGAATTATTTTTATGGATTTTTAGGTTCGTGTAGCAGGGTGTGATGGCACGTTTAAAACTGTACCGAAGTTTTTAGAAAATGACGCCTATCAATTGTTTTCTTTCCAAGTAGTTTTTAAGGATGTAGTAAGTTTCAATATATCTTTGTAGTATAGTCAGTGTTGGGTAATTATTACTTTTAAAAAGTAATTAAGTTAATTTACTCGTTACTAAGAGATAAATGTAATTAAGTTACTTTACTCGATACTCAAATAAAGTTGTGATGAAATTACTTTACTTTTCAAATAGAAAAGTAACTCATTACTTTCTCGTTACAAAAAAAAAAAATTAAATTTCTTTGCAATTATCTTCTGTAAGCAAACTGAACAAGCAAATTATTTATAAAACCTATTTAGTTAATATAGGATCGTATAAATATTAGTCTTCCACACAAGCTGAATAGCTTATAGGAAACCTATTTAAAGGAATCAAATTAAATAATAAATTTAATTAACTTTAATGTTCTCGTGATTTAGGTGCAATTAGACATTTCAAATGTCAAAACCATTGAAAACTGAATTGCGGCTAGTTAAAATTAAATATATATATACATATTATTACATTTTTGTTACATTTTTGCTACATTTTTGTTACAAAGTAACGCCGTTACAGTAACGTGTTACTTCCGTTACGTTACTACCCAACACTGAGTATAGTAGGTTGTATATTAATTTATTATGACTAGCGTACCTCAACATTTCAGTATAACACACATTAAGTAATAATAATAATAATAATAATATCTATATTATTTAAATTAATATTTGATTCCTCTACTCATTGTTAAAAGCTTATAGTATACCCTGTTAGTTCAACAAATACTAATATATTCAATGAAAATTATTATATGGTAAATACTTACAAGGACATAATAAATTCTATACATAAATTTAATACAATATGTTGTTTCAGAGCTTCCCTTTAGTTCATGCCATTTTGATTGGAAAAACTCAACAAATTTATGTTGAATTACTACAATACATAAGAAATGTGCTTCCATTATGTTATGATCAGCTCAAAATTATTACTGATTTTGAGCAAGGGCTAATCAATGCAGTCGATTTAGTTTTTCCGGAAAGTAAACACCAAGGGTGTTACTTTCATTACTGTCAAGTAAATAGCAAATACCTTCCACTGAAATTAATGAAATTAATAGTAGATAATTAATAATTAATAATTTATGTTAGGCAGTAATAAGATATGTCAGAAATAAGAGGAGCAACATATTTCAATTATTCAAAGCTGACAATAATGCTGCTCGTGTGCTTCGAATGGTAATTCGTAAAAATTAATAAATATTATTATAATTTATAATAACTGAAATTTGACTATAGCATGAACATAGTTAAATATAGTTTTAAACATAATTCATTATTTTTAATTCAATCTTTAAGCCTTTTACCCTCATCACATTAACAATACACAAATAATAGAAATTAATTAATCCATTTTTATTTTGTTTTCTCATTCAGATTTTAGCATTGCCATACTTACCAGCTACACAAATTGGTGATGTTTTGCCTTCAATGGAGGATGGGTTTCATAGCATTGTTGAGTATGTAAACCAATTCCCGTATTTGGCATTGCAATTAAACCCATTTCTGTTCAATTACATTTGGGGATATTGGTTCATAACAATGGGACCAGCAGCTGTAACAGTATTTAACGAAGACATTAGGACAAACAACTATGTAGAAAGCTACCATGCCTCACTGCTTAGACTGATAAAGCCTCATCCCAAAGTTTGGGAGTTTCTAAGTATAATTTAATATTTTTAAGTTAATTTGTTTGGTGTAGTGAATTGTTTTATAATAATATTATATTAGTATTATTTATTTAAGTGACTAACAAAACCTAAGTTATTTTTTATTTTATAGAAAAGGAGAGAAAAGTTATACATTGAAGCTTGTATATTATGTTGTTATTTCTAAATGTTGCACGATACAATTCATGTTTAACTCTAACCAAAGCTATATGTTTATGTCTCAGGTAAGTATATTATACATTATAGAATACAGATACAGGTAAGCTCTATATATGTGTATGCCGTTTGTGTTAACCACCAACACTTAAGTATCAGTGTTGAGAAAATTTTAGAAATAATCAATAAAAAATAAAAATATTTGGCTTAGTAAGTAGTAACGGTTTTAAAATATATAGGAGTAATTCCTAATTTATACATTTTTTTATTTTATAGAAAATAAAAGAAAGGATAAATTGTGCATTGTTACTTGTATATGTTGTTGTATCTAAAATATATTGCACGATAAAATCTATGTTTAACTTCAATCAAAACTTTATTTTACTGTCTCAGGTAAGTATATTATATACACAGAATACAGATACAGGTAAGCGCTATATATGAGTATTAAGTTTATGTTAACCACCAACACTATATTGAGAACATTTTAGACCTCAAGAAAAATTTTAATAATTATTGTTATTTTATGTTTTAGTAAGATTTAATTTGGTAAGTTTTATAATAAAATAACTAGATTTTATGTTTAGAGTACATGTATATGGATCCTAGATAGCCTTAGAAGCTTGTATCTTAGACCTTAGTATCAACTAATACTCAATACTATATAAACTAATAACTATAAATCACAATGTAGATACTATAACATTATAATATTATTAGTAAGTATTTCTCATAAATAACTTACCTTAATTTATTACAGTTCAGTTACAATTTCTGGAAAACCAGCAGTATATTGAATTTTGTCAGGCTAAGAACAATTTAAATGTAGGTGTATCTATAATAGCATAATTTACCATATTCCATTATACAACTCCTCGTGGATTTATTTACCTAAAATAGAAATATAGGTTATTTTTTTTCGAGAATTAATATTTGTTTTATACAGATTCGAAATGGAGTACCAACTAGAGCAAGAATTCAGAACTCTGATGCAATTAGGAACTTCCTTCAGGAACTTGCTACAGATATGAGCCCTACTCGAATATTTACATTTTTAAGGCGTGCTGGTCATAGGGTGGATGGGTATATAGCCCTAGAAATTGGACCACATCCTGGTACGTTTTCAGTTTTTGAATTACCATTTTATCTCTAAAAAAACATCAAATAAAATATAATAATAAACAAGTTTTACTTACAGGCGAAGAAGAGCTTCTTTTATTTGAGGCTGTGCAATAAATGTATAAATATTATGTTTGTAAATACTGTAAATTTAAAAATTGTAATATTTTGTATAGTTTGTAATTACTGTACATTTTTAATATTTTCAATTTTGTATAGTTTGTAATTTGTATATTTTTAATATTTTGTATAGTTTGTAATTTGTATATTTTTAATATTTTGTATAGTTTGTAATTTGTATATTTGTTATGTATGTACAGTTTTGTAAAGTATTTGAGTAAAAATATTCAATTACTTAATAAAAATGCGACAAACTTTATGAAATTTATAATTGGATAATCAAAATTTACATGATATTGGTTATTTGTTAGTGAACAGTAGGTAATTTACATAAAATAGATGTATTTTATATGTATCGAATTATAGTCAAATATGATGCAGTTTATACAAAAAATTTTGAAAATATTATAAAATTTATAAATTCAAACTCATCTTTAAATAGTACTCCATCACCACCGATAAGAGGTTATCCTCAGTGGTGAGATGGGCCATTTAACTATGTAATTAATATTCAATTTTTGGCCAATAAATATTATTATTAATAAGTTGGTAAATACATTTGATGCTTAAAACTTAATAGTAAAATACATTTAGTGAGAATCTTATCAAAATCTAAGATATTTAATTATTGAATAATAAATTTAGTACAAGTAAGAATAGGAACTTTTAAAATAAATTTAATAAATTTATTTATAGTCGATTTTAATTTGTTCAAGTGGATTTCATAAGCACCACCTCATAGGTATATCAATACCAAATACAATTATTGATTGAATGAAGGAAACATAAATAATTCTAAGTTGTTGTTTATCAAGAATAAACCTTAGGCCTTTAAAAACATAAAAGAATTTACGACCTAAATTTATGATATAGTTTATATGTATGTTCTATTTTAATTGGGACTTAATATATATTCCTAGATATTTAATAGAATAGACACCATCAATATTATTAGAAAAACAAATTATTCAAAATATTATTAAAACTAGAAGTATTACTTCCAACTATATTAATAAAACTATTATTTTAAATTATATCTTTTAAATAAATTGTGTTTGAAATTTAGGTACTGGTCTAGTTGACCTGCCAGGAAGGCAATTCCCCTTCCACTCAAGTTTAGTTGACGCTCGCCACTTACCTACATCTCTCTTATTTTTGATGTTATAAAATGTATAATATACTGATATACTGCAGAGTGCAGATAAAAAAGGTACGAAATCATATACGTTAGGTATTTGTGTGAAATTCTCTAATTAGATATTTTAAGAATTATGTTTGGTAAAATCTGTGTAGTTAAATGATTTATATGAGATAGGTATAACAGCGGGTGCCGTATATAATATTATGAAGTAATACCATATTTTTTATATATTTTTATTTTGATCGCTTGAATTGTTCATAATTGTATAATTTTTAATAAATGTATAATACTGTATAAAATATGAATTATTGTCAATATTATACATATAGTAATAGGTGTTTGAGACTGGAGTCATTGGGGTACCTTCCTTCCATTTTGCATGAGGCAGCTACCTCGTAAACAGCTTTTCACGCTTCCACTAAATACATTATAGGGATTTTAACGGTACACAGAACTTACATGATTTGAGTTATGATGGTTTGAACATTTTTTTCAGAAGACGTTTTTCCAAACAAAACAATCTCTTAAATGACTTGGGTACATGCACACATCAGTTACTGTATCTTGCTGACTAAAATTGAAAAAAAAAACAATTATGATAGGTAATTAAATAATTATGAAAATTGTATTAATTTAATGGCTCAATATCATATTTTAAATCAACGTAGTAAAATAGTAACCAATCGACATTATTCATAGTCTCAACACATAGTTTTTCCAATATAATATAGCAAACATCCTTGTGTTATAGTTGTGAACCTATAGCGTATACTTATTTATGATTATCTATAAAAATAATAAATAACAATATACACATGTGAACTTTTAATGTTATTAATAATTAGTAACTATATCACCATTCACCAGGACTTTAAAATTTATTAAAATGTAACAGTAAACAATTACAAAACCTCAGATGTTCAATCCACACCTGACTGCAACTTTGTAAGATAAATAATTGTCGTTGTAGTGTATTTGTTAAGTTATTTCAGATGTATCATAGCCAATAAGTACCTAATACATTCAGTGGAGGCGTAAACTGTTTTTCCTATGAAGCAACTGCCTTAAATAAGTACCCACACTACACACCAATTTGAAGAATTTGAAAAACATGATTTGAGTTATGATGGTTTGAATGTGATTGTTGTAGCTTGTAGATAGCATAAGTTTAACTTGTTTTTTGCAATGGTTTTAATTCTTTGTCGATACATTTTACCTAGAAATAATTACACTGTAGTTTAAAATAAAATACACAAGCAGGTTAGTAGCCAAAAATTATGTATGACTTACGAAAATCACATCAATGGTAAACTGTTTAGATTTGTAATTTGTATACCGCACAAGGACAGGTAGTGAACGTATTAATTAATCGTATAAAACATACTTATAAAGTAAAGAGTAAAAAAGTTAAAATATTTAATAAATTCCACAAAAAACTTCAAATCATCGAAATATTAAGTATTAACGTTGAATTTATTATTTAGATAAGAATCAAACTGATAGCCCTCCGCATTTGAAGTGATAACCGTCTAAAACCTGAACCGCGGTTATAATGAATAATGATTCGTTATCATAATTTATAATCTATGATTATTGATAAAGCGATTTTTGTATGATTTTTTTGATTTTTTGATGGTTTTTTGAAGCTATCTATTTAACTACTGGAAAATTCGTTACAGCGACTATTTAAATGGAATCTCCATAAAATTATCTATCGATAAACATAAGGTTTGACTATTTATCGTTCTCCTATGTGGGATTAATCTCATCCACAAACAGACGACCACAATAGTTCTGAATAGAGTACCTACATACCTAATATTATAATATACATCTGTCATTTACTAATTAGCTATACGTGTATACCTATTGTCCAGCGTTAGTAGATTTAAAGACATGTCATATTATAATATTATAACAAAATACATTCAGTAATAATCATTTTCGAGACGTATACACATCATAAACTTTGACGATTGAAATTTAAAGTCCGTCAATTACCTATACATTTATAAACAATTGTTCATGGTTAACACTCTTAATTAGATTTACTATCGATGTGATTATATGAATAGGTAACTACCTACTTCTAGGAAAACTACTGGCATAGAAAGTTGTATGTTGCTGGCGTAATTACTAAATGCGAACTAACGTATAAATATGTAATAGTTTTAAAGTCCAATAAATCATTTATAGGTTGTAGATGACGTTCACATAAGATAATATCATACTTTTAAGTTCCCAAACGTTTCGGTTTAGGCCCTTCTAAAACGTACTCCCGGAGTCGGGGGTCCTCGAACACCCCCCCAGGTGTATTTTGGAAAAAGGTTTAGTTTTTGTATGACGTTTCTGAAACTCGAGATTTGTATAGTTTGGAGGTCGGTGATCTAATTCGGCGTCTTGTGTCGAGACCATAGGGGCCGTTTTTCTCCGTCTTTTGGGGCTTCGAAAGTTCAAAATTTGGGTTTTTCGGAGTTTTCGTTACTGACACTTAGATTTTGGGCGTTCCGAGACGTTTTTGTAGTCGGGCTTTATAGAGCACTTTAGGCCTGAACGATTGGCACCGATATCGAGGTGATCCGACTTTTAGTTCGGGAGTTAT